GGTTTTACGGGGATATAGTTCAAGTCACATAGTAGTAAATTAATGGCCTTTCTTCTTTGTCATTTATAGAGTCATAGGGTTATATAGCACGGAAACAGACCCTTCGGTCCAACTCGTCCATGTCAACCAGATATTCCAAACTGATCTTGTCCCATTTGCCAGCATTGGGCCCTTCCTGTTCACAAAGGTTTGTAACATCATGAGGGGCATGGATAGGGTGAATAGACAAGGTTTTTTCCCCTGGGGTGGGGAGTCCAAAACTAGAGGGCGTAGGTTTAAGGTGAAAGGGGAAAGATTTAAAAGCGACCCAAGGGGCAACTATCCCAAGCAGAGGATGATGCATGCATGGAATGAGCTGCCAGAGGAAGTAGTAAATGCAGGTAAAATTACGTTAAAGAATAAGTTTGTTTACAATAAATGGAGTTATTTTCCTCTAATGACAAAACCTGTGTGAATTACATTTGTTCTGAATAGCCATGAGACAGGCCAATTGGTTATTTTGGTGTTTTAATTGGGTATTTACATGTTCTGTAAACAGCTTGTGCTAAGGGGCAATTAGGGATCAGCATTTCAGTCTAGCCTTTCCAGCAATGCCAACATCCCAGTAAATGAAGGAGTCATCCTACATTTATTCTAAAGGTGGGATTTAGCTGCACTGGGAGACTGCTCCAGGACTTTGACAGAATGAGAGCGGGACCTGGGTTTCCGAGGATTGGAAGATGGGTGCTGAGGTTTTAGAAACATAGAATTTAGGATCAGGAGTAGGATATTTGGCCCTTTGAGTCTGCTCCACTATTTTCAATACAATCATCGCTGATCATCCAACACTGCACTGTTCCTGCTTTCTCACCATATTCTTTGATCACTTTAGTCCTAAGAACTATCAACAACTTTCTTGAAAATCTTCAATGTTTTGGCCTCAACAGTTTCCTGTGGTAGAGAATTCCACAGGCTCATGACTCCCTGGGTGACTAAATTTCTCTTCATCTCTGTCCTAAAAGGTCTACTCCTTTTTGTAATTTGTTGGTTCTGACTTCATGGCAGAGGGATAAATTGTGAATTGATAGATCTCTGGAGGGGGATCCTAAAGTTTGAATGAACTGTGTGGGAGGAAAGCAGTAAATTGTGCCAGATACCCTTTGTGAAGGGTCAAGTTTCAGAACATTAACTTTTCTTCTGGTTCTAATGTGTAATGTTGAATTTTGCAAAACTGAAGAAGCAAAAGACAATGTTTTCGAGTTTTTAACATAGCTAACCTAACCTTCTACAACAAATCCCAGTTATTCTCCATACTGACAGTCCATTTCAATATCACCTGGAAGGTGTATTGTTGGGAGGGAGTCCCTCAAACCTTTGGAAAAATGGCAATTCCGAAGCAGAGTTTGTTTCCGAGCAAGACATTGCACTGAATCACTTTAAGCATTATTCTTAGCAATAAATTGGCAAATTGTCCAAATTCACAAGGATGACCATTTGAGGCTAACAGAATGCCAGCTAATTAAGGGGGCATATAAAATTGACATTGCATCAAAAGTTTGCAACATTGTAAGCCATGGCTCATTGAAAAGGGTGACTCTTACAACTGAAGCAGAAGATTGTGGGCTAGAAGTGAACCCTATAGACTTGAGCACATATCTAAATGGTGACTGTCCAATGCAGCACAGATGGAGGGCTGCACTGTCTGAAGTACTCATTTGCAGATACGGTTCTACCAAGGCTCCTTCAGGCCTTTTCAGGTGGATGTAAGAGATTGCATGGGACCATTTTGAAGAAGAGCATGGGATAGGGGCATCACTGTTTGATCACAAATTGCTCTTGAACTGAGTGGCTTCAAACAGCAGTTAAAAGTGAATCATATCACCGTGGGTCTGGTGTTACTTGCAGGCCAGACCAGGTAAGGGCAGCAGATTTCCTTTCTAAAGGACATTACTAAACCAGATAGGACTTTTAGAAATGTCAATGAGAATTTCATGGTCGCTATCACTGAGACTGCCTTTCAATTCCAAATTTACTGATTGAATTTAAATTCCACCAGTTGCCCAGATTATTAGACTGGGTCTCTGCATTAAAAGTGCAGGAGCATTTCACATTATGTCACTACCTCCCCAAAGACTTGTGGCTATTATTTATCTCTCAATTAACAAGCTACAACACTAACCTCCATTTGTACAGCGCCTTTAATATATTTAAAACATTCCAAGGCACCCCATAGGAGTGTTATAAAACAAAACGTGACACTTAACCACATAAAAGGTGATTACCTGGCCCTTATCCTATCAATGTAGGAGCTTCCTGTACATACATTGGCTGTTTCCTTAATTACAACAGTGACTACACTTCATAAGGTCTTCATTGGCAAATGAGCTTTGAGATATCCAATGCTCATGAAAAGTGGCTTCTGATCGTAAGTCTCTGATCACAGTCTGGTTTACAGGAACTAGCTGTGCACAAATTGACTTTTTTTGGCTATTTCATAGAATCATTATATCCCTACAGTATGAAAACAGGCCATTTGGCCCAACAAGTCCACACCGTCCCTCCCAAGAGCATCCCACCCAGACCCATTCCCCTAACCCTGCAGTTCCCATGTCTACCCACCTAACCTAGACATCCCTGGGCACCTTAGCACGGCCAATCCACCTACCCTGCACATGATTGGACTGTGGGAGGAAACCCACGCAGACACAGGTAGAATGTGCAAACTCCACACAGAGTTGCCCGAGGCTGGAATTGAACCCAGGCTCCTGGTGCTGTGAGGCAGCAGTGCTAACCACTGAGCCACCGTGCTCTTTCTGGGATGTGGGTACTACTGGTAACACCAACATTTATTACTTGTCCCTAATTGCTCTGCTGGTGGTGAGCTGCCTTCTCGAATCTCTGTAATCCTTGGGATGTAGGGACATCTGCAGTGTTGTTAGGAAGGAAGTTTCAGGATTTTCACAGTGGTGGAACAGGAATATACTTCCAAGTCAGGATGGTGTGTGGCCCAGAGGGGTACTTGCAGGTGGGGGTGGTGTATCTATCCCTTCATCTTTCTAGGTGGTAGAGGTTGTAGGTTTGGAAGGTGCTAGTGGAGAAGCCTTGATGACCCTCTGCAGTGTATCTTGTAGGTGGTACATGCTGTTGGTCTGTAGTGGATGGTGAAGATGGTGAATGGGATGCCAATTAAGCAGGCGATGACACCTCTTGCGTCCATTACAGCAGTCACTCCCCTACAAAAGTACTTCACTGGTGTTACATTCCTTTGGAACAATCTGTGAGGTGGGGGACTAAGAATCATAGAGTTGAACAGCATGGAAACAGACCCTTCAGTCCAACTCGTCCAGATATCCTAAATTAATGCAGTCCCATTTGCCAGCATTTGGCCCATATCCCTCTAAACCCTTCCTATTCATATACCCATCCAGGTGCCTTTTATATGTTGTAATGGTACCAGCCTTCACCACTTCCTCTGGCAGCTCATTCTACACAATCATCATCCTCTGCATGAAAAAGTTGCCCCTTAGGTCCCTTTTAAATCTTTCCCCTCTCACCTTAAACTTATTCCCTCTAGTTTTGGACTCCCCCACCTCTGGGGAAAAGACCTTGGCTAGTCACCCTATCCATGCCCCTCATGATTTTATTACACTCTATTATGTCACCCCTCAGCTTCCAACACTTCAGGTAAAATAGTCCCAGCCTATTCAGCGTCTCCCTATAGCTCAAACCGTCAAACCCTGGCAACATCATTGTAAATCTTTCCTGAACCCTTTCAAGTTTCACAACATCTTTCCTATAGCAGGGAGAACAGAACTGAACACAATATTCCAAAAGTGGCTGAACCAATGTCCTGTACAGTCACAAAATGTCCTACCAACTCCTATACTCAATGCATTGACCAATAAAGGCAAGCGTACCAAATACCTTCTTCACTATCCTGTCTACCTGTGACTCCACCTTCAAGGAACTATGAACTTGCACTCCAAGGTCTCTTTATCCAGCAAAACTCCCTACCATTAAGTGTACAAGTCCTGCCCTGATGTGCCTTTCCAAAATGCAGCACCTCACATTTATCTAAATTAAACTCCATCTGCCACTCCTCAGCCCATTGGCACATCTGCTCAAGGTCCTGTTGTACTCTGAGGTACAAAAACAAAGTTGCTGGAAAAGCTCAGCAGGTCTGGCAGCATCTGTGGAAGAGAAAATAGAGTTAATGTTTCGGGTCCAGTGACCCTTCCTCAGAACTGAGGTAACCTTTTTCACTGTCCCCACACCTCGAATTTTGGTGTCATCTGCAAACTTACTAACCATACCTCGTATATTCACATCCAAATCATTTATATAAATGACCAAGACACTATATGAATGCAAATCTTTCTTGCAGTTATTTTAAGTGTTCAGAATGCACACTGCATATTACACCTCACTTGGGATGTGTATGCAGTTACCAACGTGTAAAGGAGGGGATTTGGGGGTTGGTGCAGAGGAAGGGAGGGTGAACAGTTGAATGTAAGGGGCACTCCCCCCTTTTCCCTCCCTTTTTATTTTAATTTACCAATACCCCAGGAAGTCAGATAGTGGGTGGCCGTGGGTGCCACGTTGGCCTCAGTGCTTTTTCAGTGCATAGCATCTGGCTAGATACTTGACAATTTTATGTTTTCAAGACTAAAAAAAAGTTTACGTTTCGACACGATGAGCTGAAGTCAGAAGGAAACTGGAAATAAGATAAACCTTTCAATGAGAAATGATGATGAAACCAGCTTGTAAGCGAACCCCCTCCCCCCACCCCCAAAAGTTTGTGTGCGTGCGTGTGTGTGCATAGGTGGGGTTTGGGGGGGGGGGGGGGGGCATTGCCAGTTTGTGTCAGATCGAATTCAAAGAGGCAACAGAAAGCCGTGGGAACGTGTGGCGGCCCCTTTAAGAGGCCAGCTCCAACCAGCGCATTGATCTCCACTGCTTCCCAGCGAGACCTCTCGCCGCCACCATAACCATCCACCGCATTCCTCCCCACCACCACCCCCCACCCCACCAACCTTCCCAGGGTGTAGTCCCTTGGCTTTCCCCAGTGAATGACCACCCTCCAGGGCAGGAGAAGGCGGCTGATCCCACTCGGAGAGGGAGGGGAGGAAACTTGTTGTAAACTTTCTGCAAAGTTTTCAAAAAGTTGGGAAACTTGTGCAAAGGGCGGCATGGTTAAGGGGGAAAGGACTGAGTGTGTGAGGGGAGAGATGGACAGTCTTTAATTCTGTACAGCAGGAGATAAAGAGGCTGGAGTTACAGAGTTCCCAGGCCACTCTGTGAGAGCCTGTAGTTCATAGAGCAGCACTCCAGCCTGGACTACAGTCTTGTGAGTGGGTGTTAACCTCTGAATGAAATTCTCCACCTCTCCCACAGGGAGATCAGACACTTTGCTGCTTTTTCCTTGGTTGCTGTTGTAGTGTTTTTTCCTTAAAAAATATGTATTTTCTTCCACCCTGCTGCTGAGTTGTTACAGTCAGATTTTATTTTATTTTCTGAGCCGTCGACCATGGATAAATATGAGGATTTGGGGCTGGAGGCCAGTAAATTCATCGAAGATTTGAACATGTATGAAGCTTCCAAGGATGGGCTGTTCCGTGTGAACAGGGAAAGTTGTAAGCCCGAGTTTGAGGAGACCAGGCGTGTGTTTGCCTTTAAGATGAACAAGATCCATCAGCAAAGGCAGCAGGAGATGGCGAGGATGGGGCTGGTCGCTCAGCCCGGCAGGTTAAACGGGGCTTATCCTAGCCCTCAGCCCCCCAGTGAAGCCGACAGGCCGCCCAGCTCCGAGCGATCCGCCCGCCTCCAGAAGCGCTACAGCGGCGAGGGAGCCGCCAAACCCCCGGTCGCTGGGGCTGGAGGCCCGGTACCCCCGGAGCCTCACCGGCTCAATCGTTACCCTCAGGAACCCGGCCCCAGGACCGGCTCGGAGGGTGAGCCCCCCGGCAACAGGCACTCGGCGTCCACTCGGCCCGACTACCCCCAGTCTAGCCCCAGGACCAGTTGGAATCAGGAGACCAGGTCGGGGGTCTCCAGCCCCAGATCCAGTGTGATCTCCAGTGATCCAGCCCTTTATAGTCCCACCAAGGGGGTTCCAGACCAGACCCACATGGGTAGCCTCAAGTCTGCCCCCAGCCCCAG